TTATGGTATGCAAGGTCATAAGGTTGCCAACTTTATGCCCTAGGACATCTTAATGGACTCAGATCTGAAGTTTCACGTTGAAATCCCAAGTATTAAACACTTAATGGTCGTTGGTGCATATTTTGCTTGTACGCCAAGCGTAATATTGTGTACGTTGCGCATACAGCCAAGGGGCTCAGTAGGCTAAGCGTACTGGAGTGGTACGCTGGGCGTACGCATCCAGATGGGTTTGGGCTTTGTGTGGGCTTGTAAGATTTGTGGGCCTTATTCAGTTTTGGGCCTAGTCCCATTTTGAGTTAGTGGTCTGATTATTCGGTTTTGGGCAATAGTTGTTTTGGTTGGGCCTTATTGGGCCATGTGGCGCATTAATAGCTTTTATCTTGGATCCTAGGCCCATAAGTAAAGGAAAGACTTTTGGGCCACCATGTAAGGACTTAGGCTTAGGTTTTTGGACTATTTGACTAGGTTGAGTTATAATCCTAATTTAGGGTTATTTGTACCATTGTTCATTGTGAGGTTTCGGGCTGATAGGCGAGCAACTATTGTGTTCAGCAGACTGAGGTGAGTCTTCTCATCATACCAATGGGTTGAAGGCACCAATGTCGGCCCATTATTTGATATGTAGTAATTAGTTGATATGCAATTGTATACTTTGTGGTATGGATTGTTTTATGTGAAGACCATGGGGGAGCCCATGGCATTCCAGGTAAAGACCAAGGGGGGAGCCCATGGAACTTGGTTATTAGATCGTGGGGGGAGCCCATGGCATTCCAAGTAAAGACCATGGAGGGAGTCCATGGCAATTCATGTATGCCTTTCTATTGCATGGTTTTTATGTGACTGTATGTGTTGTGTATTTTGGAAAAATCACTAGGCATTTGCTTATAGTTTGTTAGGTGTTTTAGGTACTTCTGGCTCTAAGGGCAAGGGTCCGGCTTGACGGCGTAGTGTGCACTCTCCAGTATTCCGCACTAGTTGTTTTGGATACTCTGATCTTCTGAACAATGTATTATGTAATGGAATTTGTGGGAAACAAATATGGATATTATTTCTAGTTAACAAATGAAAATTTTTACCTAAATTTTTGGGCTGTTACATCGAGCAGTTGAGTGTAAGTGAGATGTGTATTGTACAACTAACAGCTATGGTATCAATGATTATAAAAGTTATTAATAAGGGTGACGGAGATGATGTTGGTACCGCAAAGGGGGCTAAGGTACTTTGTTAATTATTTCACTCTCATACATTTTTTTATTTAACTATGTGGTATACCCATTATTTCATCGTTTATAATTAAATACTATTGAGCCGTATAGACACCTAACATTGATGATGTTGGTACCACAGACAATAATGACTTATGAGACCATGATTATGGGTTAGTTACACTTGAACAAGCATCGAATGATGGACCTGAGTAGATGTCTACATATAATCAGTCAACAGATATAAAAGAGATTCCCTAGGAATAATACAAAATGCATGCATCACCTCTTAGGCGTTCTCATCGAGAAAAAACATGTATATGTATGGTATAAGCCTCCATGGATACAAATGAAGAAGAAAGGTGTTGCACACCAACCGTCAGCACCATTGGAAATTTGTATAGAGCCTACCATTCACACTCTATATATATAAAAGGATACTTCGTTGTTTTTGCACCATTTTATCATTAGTATACCAACAACTGAATTCTGGACGCGTTTATATTGGGACAGTCACCTGGGTGCTTGGAATGTGATGTAAGTTATATACATATGTGATCGTTACATAGCATAAATCTAGTAACAATACTAACTGTAATTTATACGTGTAGATTGGCGGCATATCATGATGTGGATCTCATTGTTGATAGAACGTAGACCAGATGATGCGCGGTGGACATTTGTGCCGACAACTTTCAGCACCTATGCATATGACTGGAGTGACATGGCTGACAGATCCATTTATTTAGCTTGTTCGGAGTGTGATACGATATATTTATATTTCAATTAAATTACCTAAGTAATAGTCGTTTATAATAAAATGTTATTTGATGATTAGTTAATTTCAACTTTTTGTGCAGTTTTACATCCCTATCAACATACCAAATGCCCACTGGTTTTTGGGTGTTTTGGATTTCAAGACATTCAAAATGACCATAAACGATAGTCACTGGGTGGATGGTTATTGTTCAGAAGATGAATCTGGGTTTATATCTATTTGAGAGCGTATCTACAAACTCATAGTGGGTATCAAGTATTGGGGTACCAAACCCACTGATGTAATCCTCCTTGAGAGTTTCAAAATCACCCTTGAAAAGAGCGCAGACGTGCGACAATAGTTTGACAGTAAAGGGGATTATGGGGTGTTTTTGTGTTGGTTCATAGAGATGTTGATCGCGTGGATATCATTGAGGATAGAGGGTTCAACCGGAATTTGGGCTATGTCATAACAAGAACAACTTTCGCCATTCATTTGCCATAACCAACATAATAATAAAAAAAAAAAAAAACTTTGTATCGATAACCCTTGATAAAATTGATGATTGTTAGGCATCTTAGGTTGAACTTTTCCATATCATTACATGCACCTATAATGTTCTTGACTAATCATCAATTAATGAAGTTATATGTCTATCTTTATAGATTTATTCTAAACCATCATGAAGTGGAGAGCATCTATCATGGGAATCCTAAAAATCTTTCAAGATAACAAAGATGTAAGGATATTTTTAGAAAAAAAAAAAGTCGAGGTTTAATACGAAGAATTAAAAAAATGTATGGACCAAATACAAAAAAATGAAAATGTAAAAGCTCATTCAGAAAATATAAATAGTAAGAGCTAAATTAGGAAAAATAAGAAAAAATATAAGGGCTTTTTAAGAAAAATAAAGCTGACGCTTAATTCGAAAAAGAAAGAAAAAACTAAGTTATATGGTCTTTATGAGATTAATCCTAAGAGAGGAGGGAGTCATTCCCTTCTAACCCACCGCCACATCAGATTTTTTGTTTTTTTTCCTTCTATTTTTTCCAACTCACGATACATGGAAACCTTATATTTCTCAACCCACTTTCCTCATAAATCTTTTTTATTTAATTAAATTAGAAAATATAAAATAAAATAAAACGTAACATTCTTTCATTTAAAAATAAAATTTTGCAAATTTAAAACAAAAAAATTCTAAAATAATATTAAAAATAACATTTAATTAAAAAATCACACTACAAATAATTATAAAACATGATAATTAAAAAATTCACTTAAAAAGATAACATAATTTAAATCCTAAAACGATAATTATAATTAACTAGTTATTATCTACAATTAGGAATTGGACATGTTCAATGTGACCAGTAAGATCGGATCGAAGCTTTCAGCATTACACATTTCATGTACTATTTCTTGGTCATTGACTTCGTCGGTGGGGGTCGGACTGATGCACAGGAGATACCGCAAAAACCCTCATATTTCAATATCATATTGTGTAGTATAATACAAGCATACGTTATACTTTTTGTTTTCTTCATCGTCATAGCACGTTCTACGTCTTTCTTGTTGATTCTTGTGCCGCCTTGAACCATTTCTTTTTCTCAGTTACTGGATATGGATATGCCTTCACAAATATAGCCCATGATGGATATATTCCATCCGCAAGATAGTAACCATGCTTGTAGTGTTCATAATTATGATAAAATGAACAGTCGAGTCCTGTTCCATGATCTTTCTCATCAAATAGTGGTGATTGGTAGAGGACGTTTAAATCATTGTTCGAACCGGCTACACCATAGAATGCATGTCAAAACCATAAATCTTGTGACATCATTGCTTCTAGTATCATTGTTGGATACTGATGGTCACCCCTCATATATTTGCCTCTCAATTTCATTGGACAATTCCTCTAATTCCAATGTGTGTAGTTAATGCTACCAAACATTCCAAGGAATCCATGTTTAGCTTCATGTGCTTCATACAAAATTTTAATGTCAGTGGATGTTGGACGACGTAAATATTCAACCTTATACACTTGGACAACACTGTAGCAAAAATTTCTAGAGCTTCACGAGAAGTTCTTTCTGACATATTCAGGTACTCATCTAACGAGTATGGGTTATAACCCTTCGCTAATTGACGTATTATTGATGTGTATTTTTGTAGCGCATTGAAACTCCTCTGATTTGTTGCATCCCATGTTGTTTGAAAATAAGGATACTTCATCTCCAGGTCACCAACAAGACGCATAAACAAACCTTTTCACATACGGAACCTTCTGCGGAATTACGTGTGACCATAGGTTGAATCATCCGCAAAATAATGTCGGATCAGCAGTCGCTCAACCTCTAAACGATCTCTTTGGATTGTGTTTCTCCTTTGAATGTTGCTTGAACTAGCATTATTCTGAAGAAGAATTTATGCAGTACGAGACAATGAAGGTAATAAATTATTGTTGATAAGTTCATGCTTAGATGATGAACTATCATCGTTACCTTCCATTATTATTTTCCGAACATTTAGATTCATTTTGAAAAGAGAGAAAATGAAAAAAAAAACATACATACACACACACACATTTGTATATATATATATATATATATATATATATATATATATATATATATATATATAATGAAACAAGCATACACACACATATGTGTGTATATATATATATATATATATATATATATATATATATACATATAGAGAGAGAGAGAGATAATGAAACAATGGCACATATAGAGAATCTTAATAAAAATAAAAAGAAAAGAAAAAGAAAAAGAAAAAGAAAAAACATAACAATCTAGAGAAAGATTCTCTAGTCAAATGATGATGACATTTTGAACTTCCGGGTTCTCCAACTCCCAACCATACTTAGTTGCAATTTGTCATTTCCTTTCAAGTACTGTGCGCAAAATAGCATCGGTCAAATGATCATGTGATCAGAGAAAATACTCCATATCTTGGTTCTCAATCTCCCGATCCAAAAGTTGAGATTTTCATTTTTCATTAGCTTGGTAAATGCATTATTTTTCTTCCCGATATCGTTGTCTCTGTTCCGCCCATGTGTTGGTTGTAGTGTTGATGTCGACAATTTGTTTAACGAGATCAAACATTTCATTTTGTGTTGACGATGTCGATGCCACTTTCTTTCCTTTTATTTTTCTTTGAGGAGGTGAGTCTTCAACATTAAACGATTGTTCTTGTTGTTGGGGAAATCCAGGAGGATATTGTGCATTAGAAGATGATGTGTAGGCGTTGGATGAAGATGTTTTGATTCGTTTTGAAGAAGGAGGTGGGGATTCTTCCCCAACTTTTGTAACCAGTGCCCATTTAGTGTTTTCTTTCAACCACTCCCAAGATTGTTGATGAGGAAAATCTTTCTGATTAATAGTCCTCCGATACTTGCTTAATGAAGATTGTAAAACATCAGCCTCAGATCTCCCGCTAGCCACATTATTCATCTTACGGTTATAGATGTTGTTGAAAGCGTTACCTTTTGTGACATCCGCCATTTTTCAGAACCAATTAAAACATTTTCTTTACGCTTATAAATTAAGTTGCGTAAATTCCCAGTTAAGTAATACATTTTTAAGATAACAAAAGTTATTTTATTAAAACCTTTAAGGATGTCATTCGTTCATATCCAAACATACATTACAACGTAAAATATAAAAGGTCTTGAAACTAATTATTACAAAAAAAAAATATTTGTTCCACTCAGCATCCTAACTAGACTACAACAACCTTGGTTCCAATATCTGTGATGCATAAAAAAAGTGGATCAGGTTTGAGAAAAACCTGGTGAGATACGTAGGATTTTCAAGCCCATAATAATTTAATGATAATAAATAATATCATTCCTGTAGAACAACGTTAACAGATAATATAAATGTATATAGAATCTGACCTAAGACTAACTACCCAACCCAAACAATCCTCACAGATCCTAGTTCGACAATCATCTGGAAGAATCATATTACAGGGTGAATTATCTGAGTATCTATTTGACAACACAGCTAGGGTGTCCTTGGTCAGTGTAAGTCATATAATGCAACCAATGTGTAACACCCTCATTTCCCGCTAGACAATTAATAAGATGATTTAATAGTTAGGGTCAACAATTGTAACTTATTTGATATAATAAAAAGAAATTATTTGAGTATTATGTGATTTATGTGCTTATGACTATATAATAAAATAAGCATAAAATACGCGCCCAAAATAAAATAGTAATTAGGCAGAATACCCTTGACGAAAATTGAAGTTATCATGACAAGGATTTCGGGAATATAAGGAACGCTTAAATCAGACTTATTACAAAGAAGTTATGGTCAGTCGAAGTTTCACGATTCGGCAATGCACGACGTAAAAAGTAAACTTTTGTTAGGTTACTTTTTATCCTTAGTAATCTAACCAAAAGTCGCAGTAGTCATTAAACCGAGAGCGTGCGTATATATAACGTCTAAATCTGACTTCATTAGAGGAAGTTATGATTTTTCTAAGATTCAGCGTAGCTGTAGACAACTCAGATATCGAATTTTAGATCGACTGATTGTTAGCCGAAACAATCAAAACGATAGTTTAAGATCTCGTTAATAAGATTCCAACGATAACAAGACAATCGAGAACGGACGTCGGTTGACAAAGTTATGCATTTTATATGGGCTTTAACGGTCTAAGACAGTGTAAAATAAATAAATTCAAAATTAGCTGACAAAGTCTAAACGAAAGTTGTAGATCCCGTTGATAGCTACGCGTGGATATAAAGTACGTCTAAAACGGAGTCCGTGTGAATAATTTATTCAATTTTGAAAATATGAAATTCAACACGCGCGTGCGCGACACACATACCTTCTAGAAGGAGGCGACGTGGCTCCAACCAAAAACGGACACGTGTCAGCTGTAGAGAGGGTCGACCAGTGCGCGGCGCACATCTGGTCTGGGCTTGGCGCGTATATGGATTTTTGGTCCTATAAATAGTTGGTCCGATTTAATTCATTTCTCACACCCTCCATACAATTCTCTCTCGATAATCTTCAATTTTTCCCTAGTTTTTAGTATTCTGGCGAAGCCCTGCGATCCCAGAGTGTCCGAAAAGTAGTAGCCATCGAGTAGGAACTCTACCAATACAATTTCCAAACCTTGGTCTAGGAAATCTCTGGAAGTTAAATTACACTCTATGTTATTTTAGTGTAATTTATATTTAAAATTCATAATCGTTGATATGAATTTATAAATAAGATTTGTCAGTGGTTCCAACGTCATATTACTGATTGATCTACTTACGGGGATGATGTCTAAGTTGGATTTAATGAGGTGTTTAAAGTGGGATTTACAAACAGTATACTTTGTATACCAAACAGACCTTACCTCTGATATGATCCTACCTGGTTGTCTCTTATCAACTATAGATCAGTAGACATTGGGATTGCTGAGAGATCTAGACTAATAATTAGTCATAAGAGATAATAAACTAAGACTTAGAGATAGTTAAACGTAGGTCACATCAAAGGAAAAGCCAAGTGTTGAAGCAAAACATTGTCCAACTTTCTAGTCGTCACTTTGACACGTGAGTGCATAGTTACCTTCATCTTGCACATAGATATAAAATATTTAAGATAATTACATGCTATATGTGCCTATTATTTATGTTCATGATATCTATGCTAGATGAACAGATTATACATGTTTTACGTGATTTAAATTGTATATTTATTTTTATACCTATAAATATATTGGGTAGATAAAAGATTATATAGATGATGAGTGATGAGAGGCCTTTACATTAAAGATGATCCAGACGTCTAGAAGAGTATAGATGACGACCATGATGACATCCCAACGTTTTCAATATAAATAAAAATATATTTCTTCGAAAATGCTTTGATAATATCTTTATCGTATTTTTGGAACAAATTCCACAATATTATTCTTCAAAAAGGATACTCTTATTTTAAATAAGCATAAATAAATCGGTCTTTTCTGGCCGTGAAATTGGGGATGTCGCACAATTTTTAGAGATTGGATAAATATGGTATCCCATTTTATCTACGTCCATAGGTTATAAATCCATGCTAGCCACATAATTCACTAGACTTCTTAGAATAGTCAAGTGGTGTCATCTACTCTGGTCAATGACCCATACATACTTGCTAGTTGTCCGATCAGGATCCACCATTTCTGGTCATCCAAGAAAGAGGAGGACTTCACTCCATTCTAATCTCACATTTTATCCCAACTATGAGACCTAATCGATATCAAGCTTAATTTAAACTAAAAAACCTTTACAAGTGTTATGCTTAAACCTAAGGCAAGACTTATAACTAAACACAATCGATTCCCACTATAGTTTCTAATCCAATAGTATTATCATATTTATACAAATAACACATAGCACATATAATACATATAAACATTTAATATTACTTAATAATACGAATACATTTTTAAATTAAGATTATGTTGTCGATAATAACTACGCACTCACCTGACAAAGTGTCTGGTGATTGGTAAATCGGGTGGAGCTCCGCCTTACACCTTTTCCAAAAGACCTAGAAGTACATAACGCTAAGTCTTAGTAATTTCAAACTTCATGGAACTATTATCCTAAGGGTTTAGATTCCTCAATAATCTCAAAGTCTAACTCAAGATCTAGCAAGTAAGAATCAGCCAGGCAGGACAGTCGGGAGGCAGGACCATTTCGGTATATAGCCTTTTTGAAATCCAACAACCAATCTGACATGACCCTTCTGGTCACCGCTCCTGTAGGTAGATCAATCAGTATAACAACTTGGAATCATTGATAAATCTTGATTATAAGTTCTTAGTAACGAATTATAACTATAATCATTATTTACATGAAAGCAGAGTAAGTGTAGCTCACTTATAGAGTTTTCCCGACTAAATCTCCAGAAAGTTTGCAGACAGGACTTTGACTCGCACTTTACTAATTGTCGGACTCTCAGATCTTCCAGAGCCTAGCTAGATACCCAAAAACTATAGAATTCTAAAGCTAAATGTCGAATATTTCAGAGGAACTTCGATTGGGATGGTGTGAGGAAGTGTTTGGGGGCTGGATTCTATTTATAGGTTGTTTTGGGGTCAGCCACGCCGTGAAACATAGAGGCGCACCAACCACTGATCAGAAGAGGATGATGTGGCAAAATTTTTTGCCTAACACGTGGCGTGAAATGGGTGGGGCTGTGAGATCTTGTCGGGCGCGCCGCGCTCCTTGCGTGCACGCCTACCATTTTTTAGCTTTTCAAAATTGTGTATCTTCTTCATACGAGATCCTTTTTGACGTTCTATATATCCACGCGTAGCTATCGACGGGATCTACAACTTTCATTTATACTCTGCCGGCTAATTTATATTTTTTTTCACACATGCTTAGACTGTTAAAGCTTGTATAAAATACATAACTCTCTCATACGACGTCTGTTTTTGACATATTTTATATCATTGGAATCCTATTAATGATATTGATGGTATATGGTCCATTAGCATGGCCTAGACTGATCTAGAGCGCCAGCCTGGCCTAGCGCGCTCCTGCCAGCCCTGCCTAGCGTTCCCTTGCCAGCCTTGCTGGGGACTCCCTTGCCAGCCCTGCTGGGGACTCTCCTGCCGGCCTGGCCAGGTTCTCCTCGCCTGGCGCTCCTCGCCTGGCGCTCTCCTGCCATCCTTTCCTGGTGCGCGCCCACCAGCCCCGCCCGGCGCCTCCGGGCGGCCTTGTCCAGCTCCTTGCTAGTTAGGCCTGAATTGGGCTGGCCCAAGGCCTGACCCAATTCCCCTTGACCTAATTGTCCCCTATATAATGAACAGTACCTCCCCCATGGAGAGGGATCGGCCCCTTGGCTCAGCCGCCGCCCTACACTCCGGCCGGGTGACTCAGCCGCCACCTGCCGCCGTCAGCCACCATACACCACCACTAGCACCAAGATGGTTCTCTCTAGCTATGGAGGACCATCTCAGATCTTCTAGATGATCTAACTTGACCGTCGGAGTCTGCTCCCGGGGCACAGTCCCTGGGGTGGCTCTAATGACTTTGCACTGTGATGTCCAGATCTCCGCCGCAGCAGAAGACCAGAAGATCCGCCGGAGGTCGATGTCGCATCATTTGGCGCCATCCCAGACTTGAACAAGCAGCCATCACCTTGTTCTTCCTAGATCTGTTCAGATCTGTTGAGTTCCACATCAGGTTTTCTCAGATCTGTCCATTCTTATCCCTCATTTTGTTCAGATCCGTTTGGCTTTTGCCAAGATCTGTTCAGATCAATTTGGTTCTTGAAAAGATCTTTTCATATCTGTTTAACCATCATTTAGATCTCGAGAACTACTTCATTCTCAGTTAAGATCTTTAGATTTGCTTTCGTTTTTATGTTTAGATCTCAAGATCTGTTCAGTTTTTAGCTCATATGAGCATTCACGAAGTTTGCATAGACACTTTGGATCTGCTCTCGTTTTTAGCTTAGATCTCCAGATCTACACGTTTTTGTTCACTTAATCACCTCTC